CACACTCCTTTTTTATGAAGCCCAGGATTCCATTGGCTTTCTGGGCTGTGAGCTCACACTGCAGCTCATGGTGAGCTTCTCATCCACCATCATGCCCAAGTGTTTCTCTTCATTGCTGGTCCCAGTTACTTCCCCACCCAACCTGTAGGTGTGCCTAGGATTGCTATGACCCTGATCTAGGACCTTGCACTTCATTTTGTTGAACTTCATGAGGTTTGCATTGGCCACCTCTCAAGCTCGTCAAGGTCCAAGTCAAGGTCAAGCCTGTTCCTTACAGGCTAGAAATCTAAGTATTTTTTAATTCCATGCAAATGGAGGATTAAAAAAAAACCCAACAAAATCTTTTCATAGATTCAAAATAATATCATCTTTTAAATTAATCTTTCCACAACTGACTATTTTCTAGCACCTGCCTTGTTTATCTTTTCAAGCCCTGTTTCTCTTAGAAAGTCAGAATACTAATGCACATAAAATTAAAGCATATTGTTGTGTGGGATCAGGGCTTATGTATATCAAGAACAATAAAACTGGTTTAAAATGCTAAATCATTATAAATAATAGCAGTAATGACAGTAATTCACATCACTTACCAAAATTACCATCCAAATGAATGTAGAGTTCAAACACGCTAAAAGCAATTGTTGTATGCGCAGGAAAAACAATGGCTTTGTCCCGCCCTTTAGAATTCTGATCTTCAATAATTTGAAACTATAATTTAGAAAAGCATCCCAAGAAAAAAAAAGTTACAAATTGACATGAAAAAATAAAAGAGTACCTTAACTGCATATATTAAGAATTACAATGCCAGGAGGAAACTTTGAAATTGAAAATCAAATGTCACAACTAAAGAATTGTCTATTAACAACTTTGCATTTTAATGAAGTTTGATAAAGAGATCCTAACTTAACTTGCCTCACTCTCTGAAAAATACTTGCATGATTTATAAATTCTGGTAATGAGTAAAGTCAGAGGATTTGTAGGTTCAATTATGCAAACACATAGAGGGGGAGAGGGAGGAAGGACATAAGGCAGGGAGTAAGATGCCAATCCTCAAAACAACAACAACCTGAAGTTCAATGTGTTAGAGAATGCAATTATAATAATGAAAGATAGATTATACATTTATTGAAGGGTCAAAATAAGAAGTAACTTCCACATTTCTGCTGAGGCTTTACCCCAAGCAATGGCTCATTGTTTAGCCATCCTTTCATGCATTTCTCATCCCTCAGTCACGTAAGGATAACTCATGAAAGACCAATTTTTAAATCACATTACATCAGTATAATAATATTTATCTACTTCAGCTTTTTTAATGAGCTTACATAATACAAATACAATTAAATCCAACTCTAAAGTTTCTTAAAATAAGCTTTTTATGCTTGATCATTTAAGATGCAAAACTTTGTCAAACATATTTACCCTCATTGTCTCTCCACGCATTCCAGTATGGACAGTTAATGAGCACTGCCTTGTAGTTCGAATACTTTCCATGACCACACACAAAATCTCCATTCTACTTTGCCTTGATTGATGGACTAGGCAATGATCAAAGTTAATTTTTCTAAAATCAAGAGGGAGGCAGGAAGGAAATTCAGAGCTGATTAGCAATTTACAAAGAAGCTAATAGAATTAGTAACTTTAAATCAGTAAATAAATCACCGTAACGCCTTTTTCATAGCAGTAAAACAACTGACTGAGGAGGTCTCTGGAAACTTAATGGTGGTTTTCAGTGTTTGGGAACAAAAAAATTCAAGGAAAGCCAGTAATGTACAAAATGTTAGAGAGGATATCTGGGGTGCCCTGGAAAATTCCAAGCTTTTTCATGCGCTCTATTCTTAGTGCCAATAAGGAACTGCCAACACATCTAATGAATTACAATTTTTTAAAAAATTATATAATAAATGTCAGTCATTATTGAAAATAGATACTAAAAGCAATAGCTGCAATAATCTACCTCTAGGCTTCTAGAAAACTTCTGATGAAGAAATGTTTTGCTTAGAAGTGTAAACAATACCTATGAAAGCTGTCACACACTCAATGGATCAAAAACTGAGCAACAGATATGTGGAAACTATAACTGAAAAGACCCAAAACTCTGTATCACTTATAAACATTGAACAATCATGAAAAAACGTGTTTGTAGGAGGATTTCTACAAGCATTGGCTGTTAGTCCTATAAAACTGAATCTTCTTATCAGGACACTAGGTCCTCTTCCCCCATGCCCAATTATTAATTATAATGTTTGGAGGTTACGAATAAATGAAGGAAAGGTAGATACAAACAAGAGAGGTTACAGAAACAACATGGCATGCATTGCTTAGTAAATAACTACAATGAAACAATATATATTTGAAAATGCTGTATGTTGTATCATGCATAATAAATAATTTATTGGGGTGCCATGCTGGGATTCACTGGGATGACATTGTGACCAAGGGAGAATCTTTGAAATATAAACTCAAGAATTACACCTAGAATTAGTCACATCATATTTCTACATGCTTGACATTTGTGCTAGCACCAAGGGAACACCAAGTTCATTTTCAATGTCCACAGCTCAACAAGAATGTTAGTAAAATGGAAAGTGGATTTAGAGAAAAGTCACAGAAGGTTATGAAAAATTCAAGAGGATAAACCTGGTTTGCTTTTAAACGAAAAGGCTGTGTCATAACTTCATAAAATCTCGAAGTACCTGCATTGGCAATAGTGTAGGTAATGGCTCTCTAGTTCATCAAAGGCAAAACAAGTTCTGAAACCTGAAGTCTGGTAATGTAATTCAAAGCAAATTTCAAATTTTCAATACTAGAATATAACATAGATAGGAGCTTGGATGGACACTTATTCTCTGAATTTGTTGGGTTTTGTTGCTTTGGTTTTTTTCCTGAGAAATGCACTGTAATTCAAACAAGAATTCAGAAAAATTGTACAGCCTGTACAGGCCATGTGTCTAATCCCAGTGATCCAACCTGAAACCCCTGAAAATATCAGATGGTGACTTCTACTGATTGACTAAATATAATCAAAACATAACCATTTCAGGCTTTCAACCCAACTGCATAAAATACAAATACGGAACCAGAAATCAAAATATATAATATAACCTTGTAGTAAGTTCTTTAAGTAATGTTGGTACTTCAACCTCATGTTTGGTCACTATGCCAAATGAAGCTTTAAAGGCAACAGAATCTGATCCAGCAACATCAAAACCAACATCATCCATTATCTGATTTCCTTTTCTACCATTAAGTGAAACATCTGATTTGTCTTCATAGTTGAGCAACTGGTAAGACGAGATACCTGAGTAAAAGAAGTTAACAGTTGTTATGTATGCTTAATGATTCCAGGGACTATGTCATTTTATTTTGAAGGACAACCACAGATCAATTTTGACATACTTGAAAGTCTGCGTTGAATTATTGTACAGTCGAAGGGCGGGTGCCAAAGCATTTCTGTAATACTTTCTTTATAAGCTTAAATACATTTCCATTCCACTAACAGAAAAAATATTAGAATGCATTGGTTATGAAATTTAAATGAACAGAGGGATTGGACTTCCAAACACATCTGACAATCTGGAATTTACTCCTTTTTTGGTTATAATCCTTTGAGGCTTTTATGATAAACTGACATTATGAAGTCACCTAAGTGTGAATACTGTTGGTCTTTATTTCTAATTGAAAAAAAGTTTCATATATTTTTCATTATTCTAAATAGACTGCAAATGCTTGTCACTAAAAAAAAAGGAAATTAAATTACAAAGCTCTTTGCTTATATTAAAGAACAACACTTTCTGCAGATGACATTTAACCTTTACAGAAAAGACTAGTAAGGTTTTGTGAGACTTTTTAATGAGATTTTACAACTTCCTCAGACTTTTTAATGAGCTTTTTCAATGTTTTTTTCCATTCATGACAAGCCAGGTGACTTTTCCTGAATGTAAGACAAGTAGGATTAGTGGGATTACAATTTTCTTCATCATGCTTATGTTCTCTAATTCCCTCTTTGTGGGGTCAACTTGTATTTCTGTCTACTTGTGCTCGTCCTGGTTTGTCTTAAGCAAGTTTTTAATTAATACATTTGCTGTGCAATTAATGTCATCAATACTTTTGTCAAAATTGACATTTTTCAAAAAAATAAGGCAATTAAAACACTTTGATAAAACATAGTGTGTAGACTTTTCAAAAGAAGGTATGGGAGTAGGCTGTAAGGTTCAATTTTGCACTTTCAAATTCTCCTAGAATCTCCTCAAAAATTTTTGATATTGCATAGCAAAGGCAATTTAAACACAGCACTAAGCTCTTTAAATACACCAAAGAGATTGCAAATGTGGAAAAAATCTTAGGGAAATCCAATTACTTCAGTCAGATAGCTGTTGGCAAATCCTTCTGCCTGTGCAAAGCCCAGTTCAGCACCAGGGATTACTAACAAGGAACAGTTGTGGAACTGAGGCCATTCTTACACACTTAAACATGAGTATACAAAGAAAGCTGTACATTAAAAACAAATTTTCAGTGGCAATTAATCAACATACATCAGTACATCTATCAGGAATTTGGGATTTGTGAAAAAACAAGGCTTAACTGACTTTGTTTCATACTAGTTAAGAAAATATCAAGGCTTTTTAGTAAAATTGACTTTCTTGTCTTCCTCTTTTTCTAGAATGCCCTTGGGGATTTTTTTACTATTTTAATTTGTACATTTTTTCTTAGATATTTATTACATGACTAAACAAGACAGATGTTATTACCCAATTACTAAAGAACCATCATACTACCTGCACAGTTTAAACTGTGTCTACCGGTTTGTATTTACTAGAAAACCTGCATTTTTCCACTTTGAAGAAAGATAAAAATCTTACCTGCAGAAATTTCTTTCTCCCCTTGAAGAATGTCTTTTAATGTGAAAGGTGTTGAAGCAAACTTACATTTTTTTGAAAGCGAACATTTTCTTTTCTTAATCACAAGGCTCAGAGGTTGGTATTTATCAGCTTCACTGAGGCTGGGCACTGGAACTAGTCTTCCTCCATCACCAACCTGTTTGACAAAGTTCTTGGTTGCAGCAGCAAACATATTATGGCATTAGTAATGATAATAATAAAAAATTCTGTATCAAGTGTAACTTCCAGACATCAAGCCCATCTTCAATTCTTTTTATAATGTTCTTTCAACCAAATTAACATGCTTAAAAATAACCACAAAGCTGTCAAATCACTTTTTGGGTTTTTTAGATGAAATTATATTTTACTTGGAAAGAATCAACAGCATCTTAGCCACCAATCTTCTGTTGTGTATTGTTCTCAAAGACCTTCAGTTAAGCTCTCTAATTCTGTATGATGAATAATGAATTACCAGTGTAATCTGATAGGGAAATGGTTGACTTCTTCTTGGCAGTATAATGCCACTGAAATTTGAAATCAAAACTTACAGACTTAGAAAGAGAAGACTAATTTTCACAACCCTTAGCTTCCCATTAGGAGTTATTGATGTATTGCTCTTTATTGGGTCCTTCCTGCAGCTGAATTCTAGTGTATTCCCTGCAACCAACAAAGCAGCCCAGCTGCACTCCAGGAGACCACTGCAATTACACTTTCATGAAAGCTGGTAGGTCTGCTGAGATGGTATTGCCTTTCACAGCACTTGTATAACCTACCTGTGAGAGCTCAGCTGAGGACTGCTATGGTGGGCTGAAACATAAGATTAGAGATGGCTGGGGCAAGGGGGAAACAGCATCAGGCTTTCATCATATGTCATTATTCTCCTATGGACATAGCTGTCTGTGACCTAAGGGTTAGGTTTGAGACAGGTCAGCTGCATGTATTTGGCTCAGACTCCTGGGAAACTCATTAAATTGTGAGAACTAGGCAAAATATTAAAAATCAAATTTCAGACAGAAGTGAGATTATTGATCTAGGAACGAGGAGCAGCTCAAAGATCTAAGAGGGAAAGCACTAGTGTAAAAAAAGATATCAAATTATAAAGTAAAAAGAGAGTCAATAGGGAGCAATGTGAAGAACCTGAGGGAAGCAGCAGGAGCTGACCCATCCTCATGTAAACAATGATTTGATTTTCATGCAAGAGTGGTGAACATACAACTGGCTAGACCTTGTAGCACTTCTTCCAGAGACTCTTTTGCAGTTACAGTAGGTAAAACATCAGCCACAGGCTTGGAAAGCTGCACTTCAGCATGAACATTATCCCTGGTTGCCAGGTGACTATTGGTTTGATTAACTTTTTTCCTGAAGGAGGGTTTTCAAATTAAAGTATTTGAAAGACTGCTTTTATAATATGAACACTTATTTAATAATATATTCTGTGTCAATTTAGTTCTTTCCAATACTTCTATAAATGTTTTTCAAGGTTCAGAGTATCAGGAAGCCCAATAAAAAGGCAAAAAGAGAACTACATTCCCAAAGGTATCTACTATGAAAGGAAATGCTGCAGGAGCTTTCTGCTTACTCTAGAGGGTGCTGAAGAATCGTCTGGTTATATACAGACTTTGACTTGAAAGCATGTGAAATGCTGCAATTCATCCTGGCTGTAATTCATATTACACTGCACTATCAGAAACATCCTGTACATATTTACTCAATCAAAATGCATTAACAGAACTAAAAAGGTTTTAAAAGGAAGGAAAAGCTAAAGACATTCTAAAATAAATTTGACCATAGATTCTTGATTTAGATTCATCCTGTATATGTCTTATAATTGCTTGACAGGATACTGTTTTTCCTACAGATTATTAAGATCAGCTGGCACTGTTTATTCAACATGTATTTGTATTTTTCTTGCTCAGTATGTGCTCATAGATTAGTCAGTCTGATCCCAGCTCTAATTTTGATAATGAATAATTTCATTTGATATGTTTACATGGTACTCCTGTTACTCTAACATCCTGTAATCCATCAGAAATGCTGCAGCAGATGTTTGTATCATCCTCATGCCACAGATCATAGAACAGGAGTGCAAGTACTGTAACACTGCCATGTTCCAAAAACATTCACTAATTTGCCATATCCAAGTGAAGAAACCTAAGATATTTTCCAGCTCTTTCAGCACTAGACACTTTTGTACTTGGCACACGGGGAACTTTCAGCATTTCTGCAGCCCTGGCACACTCTCAATTTGGGCAACCAATATAAATGAAAAACATTTCATTTCCAAGTACATACTGAATCAGCACCTGAATAAAAAAATCCTGCCTTGTCTCACCAAGCTGTGATGAAAACCCTTGTTCACATGTGGGTTCAAGGCTACCTCTGGGGACACTCAGAGCTGTGATGTAGCACACCCCTTAGCACAGAGTCACATAATGGTACTGACAAGGCATCCTATCTGCCCTTGCGACACAGAACCATTCACAGAATAGCAAAAGGACTTTTCTAGTCCAATTTTAGACCATCTTTATACATTACTGAAAATGAGGTCAGACTTGAACCCTCACCGTGACCCAGGCATCTTTTTAAACAAATAAATAAAAAGATATGACCTAAAATATCTCTCCCCACCCCCCAGCCTGGAATCCATCTATGATGAGCTTTCTTCTTGATTAAGCCCCTCTGAACCACATACAAACTCATTGTTGGTGTCAGAAGAAATTATTCCTCTGGTTCTCCATTTTCTAAATCATGAGAACACACTCTCTGTTACTTCTCCCTCTACTAATATCCCCTCTGACCCTTGTAAATCAATTAATCAAGCAATCAATCAAGATGGTTATTGGCAGATGCCTCACTTTCTGATTCATCTGCAGAACAGGTTAACCTATATTTGGAAGGTGGAATTCTGTTTAAGAAAATATATGAAATTATGTAAAGATATAAAATTCTACTTTAATGGGGTTTAAAATTGATTTTTCAGTCCCTATAACTCTAGCTTAACACTACTCTGCTCCTACCTCTCACCCCCTGTTCTACCTCTCCTTCAGTTGTCCATCTCCTGCAGACTGAATGTGTCTATAGCTTTGCCCAAGAACATCTCAAGCCTCGACATGGGGAGAATTTTCAAGGTAGCTTATTCAGCTCCATGTTCTGCTGTTTCTTTAATATTATCTTCACCTGGAGGGAATAGCAAGATAGTTTATTTCTTATACAAGAGGAGTTCTGTTTCTCCAAACTGGGTCTTAGCCAGGTAGTAGCTACAGAGCAGGCAAGTATATAGTTGAGAATTTTTATGCTTAAATACTATATTTCTTTTCCTTACATCATATTGATATGAATGTAGAGATATTTTTAGGAATAAAATCTAGAGGACAGTTCTGCTTTCTGCATAACCTTTGAGGCTGAAGAAGGCTGCAGTTATAGGTAATTCCATAATGGTTTTTGTTTTATTATTAGATTGTTATCCTGCATTATACCTGCAGGAATATTGAATACCTGTAATTACAGGGTGTCTAAAGAGGCATCTAAAGTGCGTGCAAGCTAGAGATCTGTTCTATGCTCTGGGGTTCTAGAATTGAGTGTTCTAGTTTCTGGGGGTCAACACTTGAGCATTCTAGACTTGAGTGTCAAGTGCTCTAGGTTCTGGGATTCTGGACTTGTGGATTCTAAGTAATCCGGGTTCTAAGTAATCCAGGTTCTATGCATTTCCAGTTCTAGGTGCCACAGGTTCTAGTCAATGCATATTCTAAGTGTCTTGAGTTCTAGTTAATGTGGGTTCCAGGTGCTGAGGGTTCTAGGTAATGTGGGTTCTAGACTTGGGTGTTCTAGATTCTGGGGTTCTAGACTCCATCTAGTTTCCAGATTTTTTTTCATATGTGTAGGCATAAAGTAATACACTTGAGCAGTTTCCAGGTCCTAAGCATTTTAACAGACAGGTGACATAAAAAATTCTGGTCACCGAACACGAAAAGTAGCCCGACAAATATGGTAGTTGGTCAGCTGATCAGTGCAATCAGCTCTTGAACTAAAACTGAAGAATGAATATGTCCTTGTGCTATATCACTACAATTTCTTTGACTGTTAAATGTGAGGCCAGGCACTCAGAAATAACTTAAAGATGAATGTAAAAGACAATTGGCACCTTAAATTTTATCAGTTAGAAAAAAATAACTCAATACCCTTACCAGAACTCGTAGTCCATTTGCAGTCCAAACACTGTAATCTTTTGGGAATGTTTAATTATATTTTTTCTCCATTAACTTGTCAAAAAACCTGTCAAGAAACCTGATATGTTCATGAAATTTTAGCTAGTTATTATTTCTTTTTTTACTGAAGAAAATATAGCCAGTCATTCATTAGTGAGAAGAGCAACTGCATATTGACTTTGGAACTTTTCCTTGTAATTACAAATGTAATCTAATGTAGTCTAATCAGAAGGAAAGCATTTCACAGCAGATTCATGTATGTAACATGCATTTATGCACACTTTGCTATGAATTTTTTTGATACACCATTATTATATGCACTTGGGATATAGATACGGGATGTACAACCGATCCTGTCTCTTACCTACTCTACCACAGTTGCATCTTGACATAGTGTTCAGAAATAAAAAGCACAGTCTAAGACATTTTATTTGCTGCCCTTGAGTAAAATTAGACTCACCACTCAGTCGAAATACCTCCTCAGCTAGGCCCTGGTACCTCATTAGTTCTGAATGATATTTCAGCTTAGTTTCTTTTAATCTGATTTAGTAATACTTACTTACCCCGAAAGTGACAGGGCAGAACAGTTAATATTGCACACTTGTGGGTTTTTAACATTTAGACCAACTTAGACAGTTAATAAGATCATAAAGACTTGGAGAACCATGTGGCTTGATATGTTGGCTGTGCAAAAAATGCTGTGTATCATCACATCAGAACAGATTTTTGTAACAGCAGTGAAACTTGGAAGAGCTTTCAGTGGGCAACTCCTTTAGCTGAGTCAGGATGAAATCTTGTCAATAACTTCCCACACTGTCTCACTTCACCACACCACAGCACCTACATGTTTGTGGTTAAGAAGAAATATCATCTGTCTCTCGGTTAGATAAAATTTAAATATATCATTTACTTTCATACTTCAAGTAATAGTTTTGATGCTAAATTAGTTGCAGATTGCTAGTGCTGCCTCACAGGCCTCTTTTACTCT